AGCCGGCCGGGGAAGGAGGCGGCTTCTCCGGGCGGAGCGGGGGCGGCAGGAGCGACAGGCAGGCTGCCAAGCTGCCCTCAGGAATCCCAGTTGAAGGTATGAGTATAGCTCCCCATCACCCACCGTATCCATCCCCAGTTCCCTCACCAGCACGCCGTCGGCCGGAGCGATTACCTCCCCTTTGCAAAGGAAACTCTGCAGGAGAGACGGCGTTGGCCGCAGTCATCCTCATGAGTCCGAGGTTGGAAGCAGAAGCGTCCCTAATCCTCCGCTTTTGTAATCGGAGAGGGGTCCTCCCGCCAGAGATAATCTTAGCCCTCAACACTGCAGCCCCAGTGCTCAGCACTGGAAGCACGACCCCAGCGTTCCCCTCTGGAGCTGGGAACGAATGGGAAGAGCCCCCAAGCAGGCTCATCCCCCCACAGAGCTGCGTGGCTGGGGACAGCTCACCAGAAAAAAGGGCCAACAAACGTTTTGAAATTCGGATGCTGCTGTAGTACCCACCGAGAGCTGTGCGGCTGCCGCCGGGGCTGCGGCCTCCCACCCCGGGCGGGGGAAGCGGAGCAGGGCAGGAAGAACAGGGCTGCCAGCTCCTGACTCACACTTCCAAGCCCTTCTGGATCACTTGGGATGGCGGTGCGCTTTCTCCCTGTTCCACGTTACACTGAATAGCGATGTATGCCACAGCGTGGGGGAGAAGGTCTCTCAGGATAAAGTCACTGTATCCAGCAACTGTCCCAGAGGGATGCTGTGCAGGGAAGCGGGCAAGGACCTGGCCCAGCAGGGAACTCCCCAGAGTACTCCCAGTTCAGACGGGAGCAGAAGCCTCGGGGTACAACCTTGAGGGGTGTCCTTGTGCAGCACCCACCGCTTTGTCACGGGTGCAGCTGGAGACAGGAACTAAAACATCCATCTCTTTATTTCAATGACAAGAAACAACAACATCCAAACAGTCCAAGTGGAAAAGCGACGGGAACGCAGGCTCACGCCAGGCCCTCGGCCTGCTGGAGCTGGCACCCTCACACAGTTACAAAAATACAGTCCTACAACAGCATCTAGGAAACACAGACCCTTGCACAGAA